TTCATTGACTCTTCTTTTCCTGCTACTGACATCATGATTTAGGAGCTTCCTTGAACTTCCAGGTTCAAACAAGTCCTTCTTTCCTCTTGTGCTCAGTCTACACTCTCTCTTTTCTCCCAGATCTCTCTTGGTCAAGTCTGGCTTTGATAAACTCACTTGGAGCTTTGATATTTTCCTCAGAGGATTCAAGATTTAATCCTGGAAGTGTACCCTAGTTTGTATCTTTATCAACATTTCTTTATGACTCAGTCTTCCTTCTTGGCACTCAGACTTCCTTCTTAGTTGCTCCATGTTTCATTTAAACAATTCTTTCCTTGTGCCTTTTTAAAGTAAATTTCCAAGTTTTCTTTAAATATCCTTTAGTTAATGACTCTGGTAACTTTACTTCTGTGAAACATTTAAATTCTCATCTTCCAGCAGCACGCAGTTTGTTGTTGTTTTCTTTTTTTTTCTTTTTTTTTTTTTGTTTGTTTGTTTGTTTGTTTTTGGTATTTGCCAAGGCTTCAAGAATATAAGTTCCTTATAGAAGGAATATATTTCAAAGCCCACTTTTCTTATTGAAAATGGCATGCAGAATTGTGTATATTTAGGAAGTAACTGAATAAATACAACTTAAAAACATTTAAAATATTCTTCTAGAAAAGGGTAAGACTCTAACTAAGAACTGGAGTATTACAGACTGAGAGTACTAAGTACTAAAAGAACCCACTGGAGGAGCAGGATTGAATATTCGGCTCTGATATGTTCCCACGTCAAATAAAAAACAAAGAAAAAGCAATGTTTCAATTCTGTGGCTTCTAAGTTTATGCCTAGACCCCAGATCTGGAAAGTTGATGCTTTTCTGATGTGTATACATTTGCAAAGTGCAAATGAAGGTAATACTTGGTAGTGGTTTTGATTCTGATTTTTGACATACAAGAGTACGGAGCATTTTACACCTCTCCTCCAGCCACTTATGACAGACAGAGGATAATATTTTTTTCAGGTCTTACTCTTGCATTGGTTCTAGGCCTATAGCATCATCAAACAGCGAAAATACAATCTATATTCATACCACATACATTTTGGAACCTACAGCTCCTGCTTGTCAACTGTAAACCCTTGACTTTTCAAGTCCTCATGTACAAAAAAGAAGTTAACACAGGTTTAGTAAAATCAAGCTTTGCTGACATTTTGATGACATGCTGGGACTTCAGTCAGAAGTTTAAAACCTGTTATAGTGTATTTTCAATCAGTTTTCAGGCAGATATTAGATATCTAAGTCAGAGTATGTAGAGAATCTGTGAATTCTCAGAGGACATGCACTTTAATGTGTTTAATATTTTATTCATTATGCTTTAGTTAAAGATCTGTGCTTTTTCTCATTAAAATAAATTAGTGAATGAACCTTTAATGCACGAAAGAAAATATGTTAGTATAATGTTAAGGTTGGTGTCTTTAACTGAGGAAAAAGTCAGGGGACTTAAAGTTATGATGCTCATACAGCACCCATAATTTAGGTAAGCTAAACACTTGTAGTTTTATTAAATAATAGACATAATGTTAAATTTAATGCTCTAGTTTATAGGTGCAATTCAAGTGATGAGATATAGTTGCTGTGGGCACCATAACTCTGAAATTCTTGAGTTCTGTTATCAATAACCCCATACATAAGTATAATACCTTTTATGACAAAGTTTCTCAAAATGATTTAGATATGATAGGCCAAGTTTGGAAAGCTGGTTGCAATGAATTTACCACAAAGCTTCCTTATTTACACCTGCAAACACTGTGTACCGTGATGAGCTTTGAATGCATTGCTCTAGCCCCCCAATTTGTAGGATGTGCTCCTGTGGGAGGGATTTTCCAGTTTGAGCTCTGCTCACTCAGTGAAGTGAGCAACCACTGAAAACCAGCGCGCTATTTTTTTCATAGCTTTTCCACCTTTTAAACACTCTAGTTGCAGAAAAAGAAAGCTGAGCTGTTCACATAGAGACCGGGGGCAAAGCAGTCTCAGGGAGTGCCACAAACCCCCTGGCTGGTTTGTGTACTGGAAGGTACCAGCATGCACAAAACCAAAGGAGATGATACAAATGCAACCCAAGTTCCAGTACCATATTATGGGTAAACCCTGTATGTGCCAAAGAGAAAAGGATGGCTATGGTTAGGAAAAACATCCAGATTTAGAGAACGGCCTAAAATATCAACCCAGATATGCTTCTAATTTCAGTTAACACATTGAGGAAGTCAGAGTGTTTGTACAAACTATCCTGCCTGCCTAGACAAAGCTGCAGTAGAAGAATGTAATGGGTATTTGATTAAAAACCTGTTTTAATTAAACAGCTTGCCCAATTTTCTTGCAGATATTTAAGGCTGAGTGGTTTTCTTCTTTTTTTTCTCTTTTTTTTTTCTTTTTTATTTTCAGTAAGGTTTCAATATT